TTCCCTACAGAGTTAGGAGCTGTGTAAGTTTAAGCCTGCAACCTGTGTGACATGTCTTTGTTTGTGACGCTCGTAAAGATAATTTTTATGTACATAAGACCAAGGAAATCTGGATTAAAATGCCTCAAAATATATAGAATTTTTAAAAATTTGTTATTCTGTTATATTTTCAGATTTTTTGAAGGGTTTTTAATTTTTAATGTAATTTCTTATTCATGAAATATTTAAGAGCCTATAGTGTGCAAAGTGTTCTGTAGTATTGCTGTGAATTAGAGAATCGTAACTCAGAAATAAAGTACAAAGGTGAAGAACTACTTTGTAAATAAATGATATGAAGAATTTTCCAATTTCAACTTGTTTTGCTTCTTTCAAATTTTTATATCTTACTAATTCTACTGGTTATCTACTTGCTATGACTGGATAGTGTAACTGCTAAAGTTTAAGAAAACAAAAGCATTACTTGTCAATTCTAAGTTGAGACGCTTTGAGAGATCAGTTTGTCTGTTTTGACTGACTTTCAGATAAGAGTTCTTGTCCTCCTCCTTCCCCAGGGAATTTATCTTGCTCCTTCTTAAAAGCATATTTAACTACCTAGCATGTATAATGGTCTCATACTGCTAAGTTCCTTTTTGGAAACGTTTGGTGCTGTTTTGTTTTCAAGTTTGAGCAATGAAGGCCCTTTTCTTGATTATACCCTGTTCCCTAGAGATAGGAATTGGTCCTTCTCACCTGCTTCTTAAGCCCTTACGTGCATGCTAATGGTGCTTTGGATCCCTGTCCTTTCTGTCCCAAAGATTTTGCTTCCCATTGCTTTTTCTGGGGAGCTCTCTGGTTGGTTCTGGCTCTGGAAATAATGATTGGTGCTTTCTTGCTAATATGATGACATGAGCCACCAGATCACTGTCATAACAAGCAAGTTTGGGGCTTGCTCTTTCCTCTCAAAAGACCTCACTAAGGGTTGGGATCCATGCTGCAGATCTGTAGCAGAAAAGTTACTTCTTACAGGATGAGTGGCTGGGTGACTTGCACTAATGCTCTTGCTGTTTCCCACAGGCTCCTACCCAGAGATTCTACCCAGTGAAACTCCCACAGCAACGCAGGTAGACGGGGCTGACCTGGCCTCACCAATGTCTCCTCGAACTAGCAAAAGCCGCATGTCCATGAAGCTGCGTCGTTCCTCTGGCTCAGCCAATAAATCCTAAGGAGACAGCAGCCCAGCAGGGATCAGCAGTAGCTACCTTAGCATGAACATAGCGTTATTAACCCTTTCAGGCTTCGTGTTTGCCATAACATGCATGTTCCTTCCTGAACATTTATTTTAGAAAACACTGGATTTAAATAACTTGTAACTTAGTATTTTAGATTTGGGTTGTTTATTCGGTTGGTTTTCCCCCCACACTCCAAGCTGCCGTATGGGGGGTGGGGGGGGGGAGTTTTATTCTACACCCTTTACCTTTCCTAGATAATTATGTCTAAGTAGTTTTACTTTTAATTTCGTAATTAACTTTGAGCCAAAATATAATTGGACAGATAGTCTCATTATTTTATTTATCGTGCCCCGTTACAACTTTATGGCTCAGTAAATACATAATTTTTTAAATAAATGTACATCTTTAAATTTAAGCGTTTGTAAAGTTGTAGCAATAGTTGCAAATCTGTTAATACACAGGATGTGTATGGATTATTTATGTTATCGAAATAAACCACTTAAAATAAATGGTCTTTTAGTATCTCAAGTTCCAGCTGAAATAATTTTAGCATTAACTTTTTCTTCCCAAAGCAATGTCTCATTTATTGGCTGTGCAGGTTATGCCATGACATATCTAAAAACCAGAAAAATCACTGTGCTGAACTTTGATTCATGTTTAGCTTCCAAATATTTTTCTAATGTTTTGCTTTTTTAAATGGTATCACTGTTAAATGCCATTTCTGTTTTGAGATTGTGGCCCCTTATTGGCTGCTGGATCCTGGTATATCTATGTTCTTTCTTAAGTACCAAAAAGGGAGGAATAGGGTGGGGCGGGTAGGAAAAGAGAAAAGAAGGAGAAAACTTTTCTGACATAAATGTGTGGCTTAAATTATGTGTATTATTGTCCAAGAAAAGGGAACATGACCCAGGAGTCTAAATTATTAATCTAATATTGTTAATACTGAACTTGCACGTGTGGGTTGGTGTACATTCCACCCTCCAGAAGTATTTTCCTACAGTAGATAAGCTGCTCACATTTTGCTCACATTTTGTTTTGAACGGGCATCTCCTAAGGAAATGTAGCATGACATTGGTACTAACTGCATGTGTAAATACATCATACTGGCAAACTATAAAATATAAATTATGTATCATCATTCATGTAGTATCTACAAATTTGTAACAGTGGAAAAAAGATGGTATTTAATAATACAATAAAAATATTCTTATCATTTCGTGTCCATGAGTGTTGATTTGTCTTTTGTATTTTGTCTTCTATATTTTTTCAGACTTAAGCAGGGCTGTATGATTAATGGAGAGATATAAAGCATAAACCTAGGTTATCTTAGCTCACCATGAAAAATGAATTTTAATTCCCTTCTCAGGATATACCCCACCTTATTTCTCAGAGATCCTACCACACCCATTAAAACTACAGGAAAATTTTCACCTTCATAAGGGCTCGCCAGAAACTTCCCCCAATGCACTTGGCTAAAGCATCAATTTATCTCACCCTCATGCTTTGTTAAATTTTACTTTTTTTTGGTAATATACATTCAGGAACAAAACTTTTTACAGACAGTTTCTGTAGCAGGCTTTCAGAGTTCCTGTGCACTTAAATTTTGGATTGCCTTATAAATAAAAACAAATTCCTATGAAACTATGTAGAAAATAAACTTTAAAAGTCCCGTGAAAGCTTATATAAAGGATAAACATGGATAGAGACAGTCCCTGGGAAAAAGATTAAACAATATAGACAGTTTCCCACAACCAAGGTGAAGAATTGCAGAAAAGATAAAGTAACTATTTACACATTTCTATAGTGCTTTCATTTTTTAAAAAACAAACAGCTAATGGTTTGGTGATATGTAACAAAATGGAGTGAAAATACCAACTTAAAAATATGGAAGTTGATTAGCACAGTTAACGTTTCATTCACCTTCAGATAAACTATTCACTAGCTTTTTGAAAAAGAAGAAAATATTTAAAATAGATTTCCTGTTGACATTTTTGGGTGGTAAAGTATCTTTAATATTTAAAGACTAGTACATATTCTTTGCCTTTTGGAGCTCAGTCTATGCAGCCATACTTCATAGTATATATACTATATAAGGAAATTTTCCCATTTTATTTCTGCACCATTACATTCATTTACAAAATATAATTTCTCCTGTCTGTATTCTGTCTAAATGGGTCACTAAGATTATAAAGCCGGATACTGGCTTTGGGGAGATAAGAAGTGAGGCTTTTAAAAATAGGCTGTGTTCAATGGGATTCTTAAGACAAACACAGAACACAACAAAGCACCAGCTATGTACATTTATTTGGTGGTAAGCATCTTACAAATATGGGCTATCTGTCAAGCAATATTCAGCCAGTGTCCCAAACTGGCTATTAGGGCATAGGTACAGAAGGTATGCTAAATATGGTAATACAAAAAAATTCAAAACCAGGTTGCAGCTGAAAAGGAAATATTGAATATTGAATGAATTGCCATTCATTTCCATAGCGGATTAGAAGTATTAACATCTTCCTTAAGCTGAACATAGTGTCATATATAATACACATTATGATTACAACAGAAGCGTTAAACAATTTGGATGAAACCCTACTAAAACAAACTTCAGGAAATGAGTTCTATGTTTCCCAAAAGCGATTTAAAGAAAGGTTTAAAGTATCTTCCTGAATACTGCACACGAGAGCTAGAGGTGAGAATTTGGGGGGTGTCTTAACTCCTTCCAGTAAAGAGGTGCTATTCCCCCCACCTCCAAACACTAGCTTAAGAGTGGACTTAATAATTGAGAAAAGGAAAGTTTACAAGGAGATTTCTCATATCACCCAAAAGCGCGCAAACATCTTAACATTTCCTGCCCACAGACACAGGTCTTGTATTTCCCACCCACCCGACCTAAGTTTGGCACCAATCACATAACTTTTAATTCACAGAATATACAATGCAAGATATCTGACCCTATCGAGACAGAAACTACACAGGCGCCTGCGATGACAAGAGGAAGAAGAGAAAAAAAAAAACTACCACTTTTGGTAGCTAGAATCCTTTGTAGATAGAGACATGCACGCATTCACTGCGACTTTCCATAGGAATTACAAGTCATATAGGATTCATTGGGGTCTCCAGAGTTTGGTGGGAGCAGGGGAATCCTATTTTCGTGGGGAAAGTGAGAAGGGATTTAAAGCTGATCATTCTTGACCGAGAACGGTTATACCATATACATACCTGCTCTAGAGAGGGATTTTACATTTCGCTGCCCGCTCCTCTGGCGGCACATTGACTACTGGGAGTTTTAGGAGAGAAAATAAAGGAAGGAAAGAGGGTAAACTTGCAAGTTGAAGAAAGCCCCACAGAAATTCCCATGATCTCTTTGCTCCAAGGCCACCCTCAATCCTCTTCGTCTTTCGCCCTCAACAGCCCGGCCGCAATGGCATCTGCAGCAGCAGTACCTGCCGACTTTCTGAGGGGTGGCACTTATTGATGTGCCGGGTCAGGCCTGGGGAGCTAAAAAAAGTGGACGGGCAGTGCTTGCAGGAGAAAATTTGCTGAGCACTCCCGTCAGACGCCCCTCCTGGGCCCGGTGCTTCGGGAGGCGCCCCGGCCAGAGCGGGCAGGAGCAGCTCCTCGCGGACCGCATGCCACAGCCGGTGCTTGTCCCTGATGTCTGCCGACGGGAAGTGCGCCCCACACAGCGGGCAAGCGAAGGCGAGTGGGGCGGCGCGCTCGGAGCCAAAGCCCGGGGCAAGCGCGCGGGCCGAGCCCGCCTCGTGAGTGGCCAGGTGCTTGCGCAGATAGGCTTGGCGACGGAACTTTTTGTGGCAATATGGGCACACGAAGATCTCGGGTCCCCCGGCAGCACTGACCCCGCCCGGCTCAGGCACCCGGCGCCCCAACACCCCCGCCGTATAACGGACCTGAGGCAGCGAAGGCTCGGGGTGGGACAACACCTGGAGGCCTTGTGATGGGGCGCTGTCCCGGTGCTGCTCCGCCCCGGAGCTGTCCCCGGCCTGCGGGTGCTGATCCGCAGTTCTCTCTGCCCGGTTGTTCTCTTTCCCCTCCGCCAGGAAAGACGCAACAGCCCCGGAATCCGGGGAGGACGAGGTCGACGAAGGAGGCAGCTTCCCGTCGGCTGAGGAGACTGTGGCGGCATTGGCCGCTGCGGGACGCGGCTTGTGCCAGCGGCGATGGGAGGCAAGGTTCGCAGGGCAGCTGAAGACCTTGTCGCACTCGGGACAGCGGTACTCGACGCGCACGATGCGGGAGCAGCGGTGCTGAGCCAGCGCGAAGGGGTCTGCGTACTGCTCCTTGCACAGCTGGCAGATGAACTCCCCCAGCGGCGTGCGGCTGCCCCCCAGGCCCCGGGACGGCGCTCCGGGCTCCTCCTCCTTGATCTTCAGGCCCAGCACAGGGGACGTGGTGACTTCATCGGTGAAGCTCAACTTCCTCATAGCTTTTGGCTTCTTGACTCCGGCGGCCGCGGGCCCAGACGTGCAGCCCGGAGGTGCCTTGGCGCAGCGCTCGCTGCCGGTGGCCCGCTTCAGGCCGTGCAGGGCGGTCGAGAGAGGCGCGGGGTCCGGGTGGGGCGCGGGGTCCGGGAACGGTGCCCGGAGCGGCAGCAGGAACTGCTCCCGCGAGGTCGGTGCTGCTGCTGGCGCCACCGAGCAGGAGAAAGCGGCCACGGTGGCGGTGCCCCCGGGGAAGGACTCAGCGGAGACGGGCGAGCTGAGGCAGCGCTCCAAGAACGCCCGGCGCAGCTCCGCGCCCGCCGGCTTCGTGGGGCTGGGGCTGGGCCCGGGACCCTCCCGGCCATCCGCCCTCCACTCCGCGCCTTCCCTCCCGCCCACCGCTGGGCTCACCCCAGACGCCCTACAGGACGACCCCGACAGCTCGCGGGCCGCTTCCTCCTCCGGGGTTGGAGGTCCCGCCCGCTCCGCACCGGGCTGAGGGGCACTGGAAGCCTCCTCGGGGAAGGGCGGCGCCTCCTGGGGCCCCAGCAGGGG